CGTTTCTGAGCCAATATTTTGGTTGCTAAGCAAGAGCGTTGTTAAGTGAGTTTCACCACATTTTACAAGTTGGCCATGCCCACCAAGTCACATGGCTGGCAAGCTACTCCTACCCAGTCACATGGCCGGCAAGCCACTCCTACCCAGTCACATGGCTGAGAAGCCACTTCCACAAAGCAGGCCACACCTACAGAAGAGGTTCTAAAAAATTTTGAAACTCACCACTGGCTTGGGTAGAGTCAAAGGCACTGAAAAGAAATTTAAAAAAATCCATGCACCCCCAGGCAAGAAACATTTGAACAACTTTGGAAAACATTTTAAGCCCCCACTCCATCCTGTCAAGACACTAAGCAGTGGTGGTATTCAGCAGGTTCTGACCAGTTCTGGAGAACCGGTAGTGGAAATTTTGAGTATTTGCCCAAAAAATGACAGACCATGAGGGGAAAGCAGAAATGCATATAAAAACATATAGAAACAATACATAAGCATCTATCCCTGAATATACTACACATATGCAGAGAGAGATCTGCAAAGCAGTGTCTGGAAAGAAAAGAAAAAGAAAAAGATGATGATACAAGTCCCACCATCACCATAAGGGGCAGGCTGTTAACTGGAATATTATTTGTACCATCTTGCTTCCACCTATGTCTGGATGTGGCTCTATTTGCACATATGCTTTCCCTAGCGAGAAAGTTGCCTATACAATGTAGAGACTTAATAAATTTCTTTCTGTGGGTTGAAGCCATACCTGGCTTGTTTCCCCTCTCATGATAAATCAGTGGAAATTACATAAAAGGACTCAGGATTCTATCAGTCGCAAAAACACCATTGAATCATAAGGTTGGAAGGGTCTTTAGAGGTCTTCTAGACCAATGATAAGATTTGGAGTGCGGATGAACAAGAAACTAGAAAAAGAAATATCAAGTTCAAAAATGGGCCTAGGGCTACTGAGAAATTTAATCAGTTCATCCCTAAATTAGAGGCAGTTGGGTGGCACTAAGAAAGTTGATGTCCTTTTTTTTTCTAAATCCTTTTCCTTTCTGGTTAAATTACCCTGAACGAAGTACACACAGCCTATCACTGGTGCACACATACACACAACTACAAAGATCAATACTAAAGAAGAACACAGATAGATGCAATGTATTACTGCATTAGACAAAAGGCAATGCAATCACCCCCTATGGAGATGGTTGATGAAAGCTTTGGGGGGAAAATGCTAGAAGCCATGTCTGCATATTTTCCCTACCTTGTTAGATATTTATTACTGTATTTCATTTTTGAACTTTTTTTAAAAAAAGGCTACTTGTATAAGAACATAGTTCCACTTAATACAGCACATGTAAACTCCAACTTGATAAGTATACTAATTTCCAACTGATATCTTAGTAATGCCATAACTTATTCACACTGGCCATTCTCCACACATACATATCTTATTTTAGAAAACCTGCACAATTTCAAGATATAATATACTGAAATAAATGTTTTACCAGATCTTGTTATACGACTATTTCCAGCTAGGATAGTTTGTAGTATTATCACCCTTAATTGAGCTTAAAAATACTTGCTAATAATCATGATAGGTCCAAAAAAATCTCCTAAATTTACAATTGACTTTTTAGGACTGTAGGTCACTCCAGAATAGAACAAATCCCATTCAGTCACACAAATGAGCATCACAGAGAGCATTTTATTTATTACAATAAGCACAGAAAAGAAGGAAAACAAAAGAAAAATAATCTATATAAGCATGCCCCATATGCAAATCAAAGCCATTTGTAAATGTATATTCTATTATATAATTAAATTATTGATTAGTTCAATTGCCATGGAAAATAAGTTGGAAATGAAATTTTAGTTGGCATATGCATCACCCAGTTAGGATTCCCAATCATAAAACACTTATTTGAATATAGAAAGAGAAGTACATTCTTTACTCCATTGGTCAACTGGGGGGAAATGGGCATTCTCCCAACACTGTACCATTAATTATTTTCCAATCATAAAAATGCACAATATCCATTTCTACTCTCTTAGCTTCCAAATCACTGGTATATATTTTAATGGAACATGAGATTACAAAAATCAGTGAGTTTTCTGGAACATAATTAAGATGTGAAATAACTTTTCTCTGAAAAGAAATCACTGCAGCAGAAGATCACACCAAATGTAGCATTCTAAGTATCACATTTCCATAATTAGCTGAACCTATCAATTTTTTTTCTTGAAAAGATTTGCAATAGCCGTTAAATAGTAATTTTTAAAAAAATTAATCATCATTTAAAATTTGAAAGTCACATAAATGTGTCATAGAGATGAGAAATGCTCTTGCTTTGACATTTATTTACTGGACACCCCGATTCCATATTCTAACTTTAAAGAAAAGTTAACAGAATAAAAAATTGCAACCTAAGTTAGTCATAAAATCATTTTTGTGTGTGTATATATATATATATATATATATATATATA